TCTGAGGTAAAAAAATTTAGCGAACTGTAAATAGAAAATTAGGTTTTTTTCCCATAGATAGATAAAATAATGTGGAATTGGGAGAGCTGGCATCGTAATGCATTCGTAATGCAGACTACGGCCAGACAAGTAGCGCTATCCCTTGGTCTAGTAGCGCAATTTTTCCCATATTTTAATATTTGACTAAACAGAAATATAGGTATCTAACTTAACCTAGCATTATCATCTTGGATTTTAATACAACTTTGAAACAATTAAATTAAAATCAAAGATCACCTTTGATTTTTATTTAATTGTTACAAAATTTTGTTACACTTGAGATAATTTTTTTTAAACGTAAATATTATTAAATTATAATAATATACTTCCAGTCGTTAAACTGTGGCGCCATCGTTTCGACAATTTTCAAAACTTATTGTTAAAGTATATTAAAATAGTATAGTTGTAGGCGTATTTTTTAATTACGATTGTAAACGTAATATTTAAAAGTAAAAGCAAAAAGTATACTACATTAAAAAAGTGGCAAGAAGACTTCCAAGATCATGATGCAGACTGGCACGACTTTCAATAAATAATAAAATGCAAGACCAAGCAGAATAATTCTATTTTCGATTAGGAGATAAGAGACTTTATTTATTGTTAAATATTTGCTTTTAATATTTGTATAATATAACCATTGTTTAAAAAAATATAACAGAGTTACGTTAAAAATAGATTTGACAAAAAATACACTTTTCAATTTTAGTCTTAACCCTGAACTACTATCGTGGGGTCAAATTTGACCCCAGGACTTGAAATTTCGTGCGCCACTGATAGACAGTTTGGCGAATGACCTTGTTATTCTATGTATTCTCCCAATTCAGTACGTAGTTTAGCATGCCGCTTAGTAGCAAACGATCAGTGGGATAGTGCACACGTACTGCTGAGTTCCGGTCGGATTTGACCCCACCATAGTAGTTACGTTATTATTATTTAAGATAATACATTAAAATGGCTTTAAGAATTAGCGGAAGTACAGTGACAAGTGAAAATGTTTTTGACCTTCTCGAATCTCTGGAGGAACCAACTGAAAATATTGACACTTATAGTGACTCTAATAAGAGAGTGCTAGGTACTGACACTGAAAGTGAACATTCGGTTCACGACACAGATTCAGAAATTGAGGTAAGTGACTTATCAAGCGCGAATGTGAAACAGCATCTAATAATGAAACAAATTTTTACTATGGACGGAACAGATATAAGTGGGCTAAAAATGCTCCGGCCCCATCAAAAATTCGCGCACAGAACATTATTACACACCTTCCTGGTCTTCGTGGACTGCCTTGGAAACAAAACCATCCAGTCCACTTGAATCCTGGTCACTTCTTATAATTCCTGATATGTTGGCCTCTATTCTAGAGTACACAAATGAAAAAATTACCGAGCTCAGTGTAAATTATGGGGATACATGTACATTTGTCGATCATCTAAACGAAGGTGAACTTAAGGCTTTTTTGGGTCTTTTATACCTTTCAGGTGTACTAAAGTCTAATCATGAGAATGTCGATTCATTATTTTCGACAAGTGTTTTAGGTAGGCCAATTTAGCCAAATAAGAAGAACGCTTCTTATTTCTTCTCACAGCAATAAGATTTGACAATCATGAAATAAGAGAGCAAAAGAAGGCCAATGGAGATCGACTTGCAGCAGTGTCCTATTTATTTAAATGTTTCATATCTACAGCAAACTACACCTGTTCCGAATATGTTACAATGGACGAGATGTTGGTTGGGTTTAGAGGTAGATGCCCTTTCAGAATGTACATGAAAGCCAAACCAGTCAAGTAAGGCAGCAAGATCATGTGTTTATGTGGCGCAAAAACACATTATTTGGTAAATGCTTTTGTGTATACGGGTAAAACAAATGATCCTAATGCCCAAAAGCTATCCATACCTACAAGATCAGTACTTGCTTTAGTGGAACCAATTGCCAATAGTAACCGAAATGTCACTGGTGATAATTGGTTCACCTCAATAGAGCTAGTTGATGAATTAAAAAAACTTCGACTTACCTATGTAGGTACAATGCGTAAAAATAAGGGAGAAATTCCTCCACAATTTCAACCAAATAAAAATTACGAAGTTGATAAGTGTTTATTTGGTTTTACACGAGACAATACAATCGTATCATATGTCCCTAAAAAAAAATAAAAGTGTAATTATGTTGTCGTCTATGCATCACGACAAATCTGTTGACCAGGAAAGCAAAAAACCTGATATAATAGCTATCTACAATTCGTCGAAAGGGGGCGTTGATGCACTTGATTAGAAAATAAAATTACTCATCAAGATCAGACCAAACCAGAAAGGCCAGTTCTAAGACGTAGATGCTACTTGTGTCCCAGAGGTAAGGATAACAAACATTCCACATTTTGCGCAGAATGTCATAGGACCATCTGCAAAACACATTCACTTCAGAGAGTTACCTGTACTAAACACTTACAATTTGTTCAAATATTTTTGTCGCAAGATTCTAACATCACGAAAAAAAAACATGACTGTTATTTTTTTATATGGTTACTCTATTATGATTTTCTTTTGTATTAGGTTAAGACGTTACTATTATAAACTGCTTTTCAGAAAATGAACCGTTAATTTCAATTTAAGATATATTTTTTTTTATTATAATAATGAGTTATGTTTTTGATCACAATTTGTTTTAAAAGTTCTATAATTTTTATTATAGCAACTTAATTTTCTTGAAATAAAATTTAAGTTTACAAAAAATCTCTTTTTTATATACTCATTCATTTGTCAAAAATACAAAAACAATAAAAAATATATTTTTATATCTTGTTTAGAGGTTTTTAAAATTCGGGTCATCTATGACCCTACGATAGTAGTTATGTGGGTGTAAATACACGATAGTAGCTCAGGGGTAAGGTAGAGGCACCCGTAGTACCTGACACTCCAAGGCCAGAAAAATACATTTTCTGATATTAAAACATTTTACTTAGATTTTTTTGTTCTCATAAGCAAAATGTATGAATAAGTTTATTACTAATTGTACATGTGAAAGGAAATTTGATTTAGACAAAACTTATTTTAATAAAAAAAAAATCATTTTTAAATATATGTTTTGTCCCCAATGCCTGGCATTGCAAATTTTGCAGAATCCAAAAAAATACCCAATACCTGGCATATCAAAAAAGGTATTTAAATACAAAAAAATACCTTATTTATTCAACTATCTAATTAAAACTTTATTATTTCTGGAACTCTGTACATTCAATGATTATTTAAACTTGCTGGTTCGTTGATCAACACAATATCAGTATGATCATACTATATTGCATCCTCTTTATTAAAGTTGCTGTTTACCATATTACTAACAAACGCTTTATTTTCTTCTACTTCTTTTATTTTTCCCGGGTAGTGTTGACCTTCAGTACAGCATGTAAAATTAATGCAAATACTGAAAAATATCGGAATAGATGACAAGGATATTCGTGTCATTAAAAATTTGTACTGGAATCAAACTGATATCGTAAAAATTGGAGATAACTACACCGATGAAATCCCCATACAGCGAGGAGTCAGACAAGGTTGCATTTTGTCGCCAACATTGTTTAATGTTTACTCGGACCAGCTATTTAAAAAGACACTTGAAAGACAACCATATGGAATAAAAATCAACGGGGAACTACTTAATGTGATTAGATATGCAGACGATACAGCAATTCTATCAGATAATATTGAAGGTCTTCAAATTCTGCTTGATCGTATTCACTAGGTAGGAGAGGAAATGGGCATTAAAATAAACTCAAACAAAACCAAATTTTTAGTGTTGTCGTGACCCACATCCCGATGCAAAGCATCAATTGAATGGAGTCAAAGTTGAGAAAGTTCACAAAATGAAATATTTGGGAACTGTGATAACGGACCAACTAGATCCAGACATAGAAATAAAACGTAGAATAGTAATGACTAAAACTACTTTTATGAAAATGAAGTAATTTCTTTGCATGGTTTCTGTGCAATGGTTAAGTGTTATGTTTGGTCTGTACTTTTGTATAGTGCAGAAGTGTGGACTCTAAAAGTATCGATCATGAACAAAATTAAAGCATTGGAAATGTGGGTTCATAGACGAATGCTGAAGATACCTTGGACAGCAGGAAAAACTAATGAAGAAGTACTAAGGAGCGTCAACAAAGACAGAGAACTGCTAAAGACTGTTAAACATCGAAAAATGTCTTATCTGGGACATATAGTAAGGGGAAGTCGATATCAAATTTTACAACTAATCCTTAAAGGCAAAATAGAGGGCCGTAGAGGTGTAGGAAGAAAACAAGTTTCTTGGTTTAAAAATATTTGTGAATGGACTCAGATACCAAATGCAGGATAATTATTCCATATTGCAAAAGATCGAGAAGCCTTCGCAATGGTGATCGCCAACGTCGGATAGTTCTGATATGGCACGCGAAGAAAAATTGTTGACCTTCATAAATAACAATAACATGATCACCTTCTTTTAAACGATATTTGTTGAATGTTGGAACAATAGCTGAAATGTCATCACCACTATCAGATTCCAAATTTAATTGCTCATGAGATAGAGATGTTTCAGAATATGAATTTTCCTTAAAGCTTCGTTCTGTGTTTTTTCTTTCAGAATCTTCTTTTCATCAGAATCTGAATTTTGCTTGCAATTCCGCTTTCTTGTGGAGTTTCTTCTACGGAGGATAGATTATTGTAAATGTCTGTAATATTTTACTTAATGTCTGTCAAATATTAATTTGACTGTCGAATATAAGTACAACAAACAGATATGTTTTCAAATTTGATTTTTTCTTTTGTAACCAAAATATATAAGAGCACAAAGCTGCCAGAATTTTTTTATACATGTCATATTGCAGTGTCATATTGTCATGTCACAGTGCACTTATGGTTGATCGAAAAAAAAGTGTCTCATTGTTACCCAGGCTCCCCTAGCTACTTAAAGAAAACAAGAGGCTACTTTTGGTTTGTACTCTAATAAATTATACAACATTTTAAGCTAGAATTCACAAAGTAAGTAAACACAAAAAGTAAAGGTTTTCAATTTTTTATTTAACAAATATTATTTGTCATAACATGATTTGATTTAACTTTGAATTATAAATACAAAGAAAAGTTTTGGCAAGGCAGGTAATAATTGAAAACAGAAATATGAGAAATTATTACAGCTATATACAAAAGTCTTTTAGAATCAAAGTTCACTGAACTAGTATTATCTGTTTTTCAAACAAAAAATCAGTGGTTTATTAAAAAAAAAACTAAATAAATATTAAATTATTTTCTAAGATGAAAAACCGTCTCCAGTTGGATCCAAAATCCATGGATAATTGTTGGGACATTCCATACAGGTAAACAATCGTAGAGTTTCTCCTGGCAGTTCTCTGGTATTCAATGCACATGAATTGGGCAATGAGCAGTAGGGTTGACCTTTAATGTCACACTTTTCTTTCCATTCTTGGAAGTCTCTTAATCCACTGAGTTCTGTGGGATTCTGAACCCATTGGATGACTTGACTGTTTGTTACGAAATAAACATCATTTCGAGCCAACATATCTTCAATGAATTTAATAAGTTCTTCTTTGAATTCTTTTTTACTCTTTAACCATGAGGCATGGAAGTTAAGACCCAATGGAGCTCGGTTTGAATTTAAATGTCTGTTGAAATTGTGTCTGAGTAGTCTTGCGAATTGATCCCCAGTTTGAACATTAGAACAGGAGTCTACCATGTGGCAACCAGGTAGCGATTCGTCAAAAGTAGGATCATCACGTCTGTCCAATTCGTTCATGACTATTTCCCACACGGGATGGCTTCTGCTGGGACAGTTGTGGGCATTGCCATTGCACTTATGTGGCATTCTGAAGTATAAAGTATAAGGCCAGATTGGGACACGTCCTAGGGAGGCTGTAATGGATGAATCATAAATAAAGAATTGATCTGTCATCATTTCAAATTGTCTGTTTCCTCCTACTCTGAGGTAGGGAGCTCTTACTCCAATAATTGATCCATCGGTAATGTTCGCAAATCTTTCGATAATCAATCTAGCTCCAGCCATTTCAGCCAACCAATCGTCATAAGATCCCTGGGACCAGTAGTTTGGATCCTCTTTATGAGTCAATGAAAATACTGCGATTTCATGACCACGTCTGTGTAGGTCCTGTACTGCTGAGTAGTTTGTATATTTGTGAGAAACGAAAAAGTTTCCTTTAATTTGACAACCATTTGGATTTAGTCTAGTGCCTGAAAAGATTTCTTCATATAGATCGATGTTGTCTACATTGACGGCACCGTTGAAGGATATGGTAATCATTTGTGGTACATTTGCTGGTTCTAGCGCTCCAGGAATTCTAGTTCCGTCAGCTGAGCAGAAACAGTCCGGAATTACACATTGAGTTGGATCACAATCAGGTGCACGATTGGGGTCACTATCGACATCTAAAATAAAAAATTCATTTAAAGAGCTAGTTATAATCAATAAGCTAATAATATACATATTAAACCCATATCATTTTAAGTAAACAATTAGATAATATTTAAACCAATGATATACTTATTTATTGTAATATTAGTTATAATTTTACGTAGACAGATTTGTGTAAAATCAGCAAATAAATTAAATATCTAAGTCATACTCTAAAAGGAACTACAACATTAAAGAGTTTTATTGTTTAATAAGGTCAATATGAAAAAAAACCGCAAAGTGCTACCATTTAAAGCAGTGCGTTTTTGAGAATGGGTGAATTAGTCCCTATACACTAAGGTGTATTTGGGTGAATTCTCTGCACTTTTAGGACATATGGATCTACAAAAAAGTTGTTCAAAATTTAATTTTCTATCGAAATGTTACCTTGTAAAGTAAAAAATAAATTTTTTTGACAAAATATATTGAAAAAACGAAATTATTTCGACAGAAAATTTAATCTTGAACAAATTTTCTTTTAATGTAACTGAATGTGAGAAGGAAGTACATAGAATTCAACCAAATGCACTATACAAAAAAGTGCATAGGAACTAATTGTCCTCTTTGTTAAAATGCACCTCTTTAAATAGTAGCATTTCAGGTTTTTTCATAATTGGAGGTCCATTGACGATATTGTAGCATTTTTAAATTCTTTGATATATACTAAAATCACAGACATAGATCACACAGCACACAAAGTAACAGATCTTACGAACGCAGTTTGGATTTAGGGGTGCGTTAGGTACAAGAGAAGCCTTGTTTGCGGTTCAGGTATTCTTTTAAAAATGAAGAGACGTCAACTGCGATATTTATGTATGCTTTATCGACTACCAGAAAGCTTTCGACAGAATCAAGCAGGAAAAGCTCATAGATATACTAAAGGCGACTGATCTGGATAACATAGACCTTCGAGTAATCAAGAACGTATACTACATCCAATCAGCAACCATTCGGGTGAAAGACTAACTAACAGAGGAAGTTGCAATAAAGAGAGGAGTACGACAGGGCTGCATACTCTCTCCCCTATTATTTAACGTATATTCGGAACACGTAATAAGCCAGGCCTTAAAGCATATACAAGAGGGTATTCTTATAAATGGTAAGCGCCTGAATAACATTAGATATGCAGACGATACTATATCTAGAATATCTTGGACATATAAATGCGAAACGATCATAGATATAACATGCTGCAACTTATATTACCAAGAATGGTCTACGGAAAGAGGAGACCAGGAAGAAGAAGAATATCTTGGCTCCAGAACTTATGAAAATGATTTTTCTTAACCACTTCAGGACTATTTCAAGCTACGGTCAATAAAGTTAGAATTGCCATGCTAGTACCAACATCGGTAACAGATAGGCACCACAAGAAGAAAATACTAAAATCCCCTCGTATATGTTAAAACACCTTTTCACCATCAGCATATTTTTTTATATTATGTAACTCAAAAAGATCAAGAATTAGTATTTTGGTATAAGATGATTGCATGCTTGCATGCTTATTAGACAAAGATTTCGTAATTCTATACTGTCTACCAAAACTTACCCTGGAGCAGACATCGGTTCAGACCATAACCCCATAGTAGTCACATTACGAACCAAATTAAAACTGGTTAAAAAACCCACACAAAGTAGAATTGATATTAAGAGATTAAGGGAACCACAAACAAAGGAACAAACTGTAAAAACTCTTACTGAAAATATACGTAATGCCCAAGAACTGAATAAAAGTAGCTATAACATTGATCAGAAATGGGAAAATATAAAAGCAGCAATAATTAAAACAGCAAATGAAAACTTAAAACCAAAGAATAGAAAACATAAAGATTGGATGACTGAAGAAATACTACTATTAATGAATGAAAGAAAATCATTCAAAACAAAAAATCCAATTAAATATAATGAAACTGATCGATTAATAAAAAAGAGAATAAAAGAAGCTAAGGAGAGAATGTTACATGAGCAGTGCCAAGAACTAGAAGAAATTGAGAAAAAATATGACTTTTTTAACATGCATAAAAGAATTAGAGAATTAACAGGAATGAGAAGAACACTTCAAACTAGGCAACAAAGAGATGAAAGGGGTGCACTTATAACAGATATAAACCAAAAAATGCAGAGATGGAGACAATATATAGTACAACTATTTACAGACAAAGAAAGAACAGAAGCACCAAAAGAATTTAAGGATGATACAGGGCCTGACATTATACGAGAAGAAATTGAATATGCAATGAAACAAGCTAAAGATGGTAAATCTCCCGGGCCCGATGAAGTTCCTATCGAATTACTTAAAATTGTGAATACTGAATCTATTGATTTTCTTTTGGATCTATTCAATACCATATATAGAACAGGTATAATACCTAAAGAATGGCTCCAATCAACATTCATACTGCTTCCCAAAAAAGCCAATGCAAAGGAGTGCAATGAACATCGCACCATGGCCTTAATGAGTCATGTCTTGAAATTGTTTTTAAAAGTAATTCACAATAGAATACATAAGAAATTAGATGAAGGCATAAGTAATACACAAATGGGATTTAGGAAAGGTCTGGGAACACGAGAGGCACTGTTTGCAGTAAGTGTTCTTTCGCAGAGATGCTTAGATATTAATCAGGAAGTATATGCCTGTTTCATTGATTTTGAGAAGGCATTTGACAGAGTGCAGCATAATCGACTTAAAGAAATTTTATTAAATGAAAACATAGACAGTAGAGACATTAGAATCATCTGTAACCTCTATTGGAATCAAACAGCAAAAGTGAAAGTTGAAAACGAACTGACCAAGGATATCCAGATTCGCCGTGGGGTCCGCCAAGGGTGTATTTTATCACCCTTGTTATTCAATTTATACAGTGAAGCCATCTCAGAATTAGCGCTTGCCGAGATCAGTGAGGGCCTTATAATAAACGGTGAGCCACTTAATAACATAAGATATGCTGACGACACCGTCCTTTTGGCAGGAACACTAGAAGAACTGCAACACCTTGCTGAACAACTAAATATACAGATTGAACGAAATAAATTCGGAACATAGGAATATAATGTATTTCGGCTCAATTCTGATGTAGCTGGTTGGCCAACAAAAGATTGTCAAATAATTATGTTATAAAAAATCCCATACTTCAGCGGACTGCTGGATTCTGAACTCATAAAAATTGAAAGCTACACATAAATCTACGATTATGCTGTCAAACCAGTTATAGTCCAGGAAATGTAGCATTTCACCTCGCAATTTTTTCGTGCGGCGTGGATTGACTTGAAATTTAACAGAAGGTAGGTAATAGCCTAAGGATCAAAATCTATATCGAACCAAAGTGCGCCAAAGCCTAGGGGGTGGTTGCCACCCCATCTCCGGGGTGAAATTTTTTTTTACGTTTTAACTACAGGTTTCGATTAGAAAAGTGATTCTAAACAAAAAATGTGCTATACATTTTTTTTATAAAATGATATTTTTCAAGTTATTCGCGATTGAAAGTAACAACTTTTAGACGAAAAAAATCCACGTTTTTAATCGATTTTTCGCGAATAACTCGAAAAATTGTAGAGAACAAATTTGTAGCTTTTAAAAAGACAAATACAATTACAAATACAATATCAATGTTCAGCGGTTTTCTTCAAATGCCAAATTTGAAAGATTCAAAGTCAAATATCGGGAAAATTATGCATTTTTGGAAGAAAACTCACAAAACCTTTTTTAAAGAGCATAAATAGACCTATCATAAAAAAATAAGGTCAATACCTCATTTTTTACGAAAAAATCGAGGAAAACAACACCCTAACCACCCCCATAATTAAAATCGATCTTCACCCTTCTGCAATTCCCTTTGTAGATGTATTGTTAATACTTCCAAGAAGTTTGACTTATTTAAAATGCTTAGTTTTAGAAAAAGTACAGCTTAAAGCGAGAAACGTTTTACAATTTCATATTTTTTACCCTTCTTTTTTTAAATATGCCCGAAAATACTGAATATATGAAAAAAATAAAAATTACCAAATTGTAGCTTTTTTAATGACTAAAATTATCCTTTATTTAGATTTGTTGTACAATGAATATTTGGCGAGATATAGCCGTTTAAAGCATCGATTTACGATCAAGCACCACCTTTTTCGAGCCCTTTGAACTCACCCCATTTAAAAACCAAGGGTTCCAAAAAGATTTAATTCACAGATCCTTGTAGCTATTAAAAACCTCTATAAATCGTTTTTGAAGAAACATCTATCGTTAAAAATTAAAGGAAATACGTTAAAAAAACCAGTTAATTTTTTTCCGGAAAATTCCATTAGTATAGTACAGTACATTTCGGAGCATAATAATCTACAAAACCGGTATATTAGCTAGTGGGGCGTTATACATTCGAAATTTTAAGCGTTCTTATTTTGAAATCCCATACAACATAATAAAACGAGCTAGTTCGGCTAATGGATTAAGTCCACAGTCAAAAGAAAACAAGAGCACACACACACATCTGCTCATATGTCTATGGCTTGGCAATGAAAATATCAGAGCAACAGATTGGGGATGGTTTTCCAAAGATGGTTTGTTATTACCCGTACGCATGAACAAACAACCTGTACCCGATAAATTTTTGAAAATTATTTTTTGCCAATGCAAAAAAGGATGCGGCGTTTCATATGGGTGCAGAAAAGTTGGTTTATACTGTAACTCTACTTGTTCTGGGTGCTCAGGTGAAGGGTGCAATAACAGTCCACCAATAATTGAGGAAGATGATGATGACATAGATCACGATGAAGATGTAATTGATGACGAATAAAGTTAATATTATAATTGTTTTACCTATAAATGTAAATATTTTCAACTATTTATGTAAATGTATAAGAATATATGGTGCCTTTTTATGTTGATAATTTTTTTTGTATTTAATTCTACTTTTTTCAATTTATATCTTATAAATTAGTTTATAAAAACTTCAATGTTGTAAAGGGTGATTTTCAAAAGTTGAAAAGTTATATGAATTTGTATTTTAAAGTATAAAAAACTCACTATTTAACTAATCCAAACCAAATTTCACTCATTTTAGGATTTGTAATATTATTTGACAATTTTTGAAAATTAGGGGTAGTTTTCACCCCTAAGAACAATCAGGGTTCATTAGCATGACATAAACTATAAAGCAGAGGGTGAGTTGAGCTTAATTCCAAATTTTTATGCAAGTCGTTTCAAGGTGAAATCATTTTCTTCGCATTACTAATTTTTTTATATTAATCTCTAATGAGGGTCGCTTTTTAAGGGTTGAAATATGATGGAACTTTATTGAAAAGCACGAAACTATCATTATTTAATTAATTCAAACCAAATTTTACCCACATTCAGGTTTAATATGTTATTTTATAATTTTTGACAATTAGGGGTAGTTTTCACCCCTAAGAACAATCAGGGTTCGTCGACATGACATAAACTATAAAGCAGCGGGTGAATTGAGCTTAAATCCAAATTTTTATCCAAATCGATACAAGGCGAAATCATTTTTTTAGAATTAGTAATTTTTTACATTAATCTTAAACAAGGGTTGCTTTTTAAGGGTTGAAATATGATGGAACTCTATTCAAAAGTATAAAATAATCATTATTTAATTAATTCACACCAAATCTTACCCATATTCAGGTTTAATACGTTATTTTATAATTTTTGACAATTAGGGGTAGTTTTCACCCCTAAAACCCTTCAGCGCACTTCGATTCGATATAGATTTTGATCCTTGGGCTATTACCTACCTTTTGCTAAAATTTCAGCTGGATACATGCAGGACGAAAAAATTGCGAGATTTTAACTTTTTTCGAGCTTCAATTCCTGAACTATTATCACTTCCGTAGACAAACCCGTCTTACGCAAACAACTTTGTTGCGAGACAGATAGTTGAACGATATTTTATACAATGTCTATACCCAGGTATGGATTTATTTTTGTCCAAGTTTTATATTGGGCCACTATTTTAAATGCAGTTCAAACAGACATGTATTAAATTGTATGTTCCGTTTTAATTTGGTTCAATCTGTATATTGCAACGATTATGGACTAAAAATCAATTTGAAGAAAACCAAGTTCATGGTATTTACAAAAGCACAAAACATCAAAGTTAAGCTAGTACTAGATAATACAGAAATTGAACAAATATCTTCGTACAAATACCTTGGAGCATGGATCACAGAAGATACTGATCAGACAAAAGAAATAAGATGCCGCATTGAAATTGCGCGGTCAACTTTTAATAGAATGAGAAAACTTTTTTGTAATCGCGATATCAATATATCGCTCCGGATAAGAATGCTCCGATGTTATATTTTCTCTACCCTTTTGTATGGAGTTGAAGCTTGGACACTTAAAAAATCCAACATTAAAAACCTAGAAGCATTCGAAATGTGGTGTTACCGACGCATTTTGAAAATATCATGGATGGAGTTCTCGAACAACTAGGAAAACAATGCGAAGTTTTAAATTCCATAAAGATCAGGAAATTGGAATACTTGGGGCACATCATGAGAGGTGAAAAGTACGAACTACTAAGGAATATAATGCAGGGTAAAATCAAAGGTAGAAGAAGCGTAGGAAGACGTAAAATCTCGTGGCTACGCAATCTCCGTGAGTGGTTTGGATGCAGTTCAATTGAACTATTCAGGCGAGTAACCAATAAAATTATAATTGCCAGAATGATTTCCAATCTCCGATAGGAGTGGAACTTGAAGAAGAAGATTGCGTGCTCTCAAGAAACTTAAGATCTTGTCATGAAACAGGTGCCCCTCAAATCCGATCATAATGGCTCTTTTTGTGATGTGAATTAGACTAAGTGGAAACTAAGAACAGTTAAACTTTGGATATTAGACATGCAACCCAATTGTCATTATCGTTTACTCGGCCAGAAATATCCATTCATTTCCTGGCTTCTTGCAAGAAAATGAACCAGGAATACATAAACAACATAGCCTCAGTTATCTGGAAACTTTATAATTGGATACTGTGATAGGTCATACTTTCAAAAATGAAGTAATCAACAACACTGCGGTAAAGCAAGGACCGTCAAAGATCCTCGGATCATTCGTAAAAAGTTGATGGCTGTTAAAACAAGTCTTTGACCCAAAAGAGGCTTCACAGCAGAAACTTAAACCTATCCGACAGCATCAGATGTAAAGTATATAGAAAACATGTTTTAGAAAGCAATGTGGAAAGGCTTGTGAACATAAGCGTCCCCCGTACAAGGTAGAGAACACCAAAAAAGGAAAATTTCGATTATTATTTATCTACGGCCAATACAATTACCTGCTTCGAATAACAATTAAAGGGAAGATAGATGGTCGAAGAGAAGTAGGCGGAAGAGCCATATCATGGCTTCGCAGTATCATAACTTGGAGGGGCATGAACATTACTAAGAGTGGCGCAGAATAGAGATCATTATGTTGCACTGATCGTAACCTTTCAGTAACGGAGTGCATAAGAAGAAGAATAAAATGACAGATAGTGATGCAAAAATATCAACAAAAATAGCGATGGCAAGATCAGCAAAGGTTAAATTCTAAATACTTATGTCGGAGGGAGATTTCTCTGCTGGAGTCTTAAGTTAAAATGTTTTATATGGCATAATAATATACAGGGGCTGGAACATATAATCTCTCAAATCAATGAATTGTATAGAGGCAATAAAAATGTGAACATTGTGTACAGTATTGCATATCTCAAGAATCGATCATGTGACAAACGAAGATGTACAATTGTATTCAACAGTTGTATTCAACAGGTATACTAGCCACTCCTGGATATCTCCACTTCATGGTTTGTTCCAGTTTCACTTTTTAAAAACGAAGATGTCTTAAGGAGAGTTGGAATCGAACGTGAACTGTTATTCATTATAAAATTATTCAAAACGGGAAATTATACACTTACTAAAGAGGGACAATTACGAATAAATGGCAAATGATCGTCTAAACTCTAGAAGCATATGACATTTGAAAAAGAAAAACATATTTCTGATCTATTTTCATTACTTACCACATGCATTTTCATCTGATTCATCTTTACAGTCTGCCTTTCCATTACAGAAAAGGTCTTTGTCGATACATTCTTCATTACCACACATTAGCTTTCCTTCTGGGCATCTTGGTTCATCGGTTTTTAAAATTGGAAGAACTTTTCTTGGTTCTAAAATAAACAATTAAGAAACGAAACTGTTTCATCAAAATACATAAAATAAACTGGTTGTTAATTTTCTTTGTACAGGTTTTTTGTTGATTGGCGTTTTTATACATTTTTACAATATTTACAATTCATTTATAATTATAAAAGAAGAATGCATCAGAAAGTAGGCATATAATGTTCTCTACAGAAATTTACAAGAAGAATCTAAGTGTTATTTTACAGGAAATTTTATTTGTGGTAAAATTTAGATATCAAATATGTTTATATGCAATGATTTTACGTAATAACAAAACAAATCCAGTGTACCATTGTAAAAGATGCCCGATTTCCATCAATACGCATTTCCATCATCCCAACTGGGGAATAGAACCTTTTTATTTAAAATATCCTCAAGAATCAAGAAAAAATGTTCTTAAAGAGTTTTTTCGAAAAAGCAGTAGGTGGTAATTTTAAACTTATTTGTGATTGCTAATTTAAATTCTTCTTGATTATCAGGAATAACTAAAAAACTTATAATAGATATATCGTGACCAAACTGGTAAAGTAGCGAATGTGCAAATTTGACGTCTAAACAGCTGTGGCTTGTCAAGGTGTATATTGTAGTAAATCAGCGAATGTACATACAGGTCCAATATTTACGTGATTGTTGACCATTTTTAGTTTAACGAATCTACACCTACTTCACTATTCGCAATGCTAAACAGTCGAATATAAATATTCGATAGGTAAATTAACGAATGTGCCACATTCGCACTTTTACCACAGTGTATTACAACCATTACATATTGTCAAAATAACGAAAGTGGCATATTATTTTGAAATTTTTAGAAGAAAGATGAATAATTTGGTATAGTTAGTTCCATGATACTATGACTAACAAGATAGGATCTTCAAGTAGCACAAAATCGGTCTGGTTTGCGCATGCTGTCATTGGAGAGTAGAATTTAAATTCTTGTTAAAGTTAAATGGGATTTGTATGCATTATGTGATGAAATTACTAGACGAAAATAAGTTCAGAGGTTTAATAATTACAATAATCGTACACATAATAATATTTCCAAACTATTAATTAAAGATTATTTATCGATACATACAAAAAACTGACATTTCTAACGTCAACTCTCCAATGACGTCACGATTTATGCGCAATATCTTATCTTCTTAGTTATAGTATCATGGTTAGTTCGTAAATATACTTGTGGAACTCGATAAATATCTGGTTTCTTCAAAACAAGTTAGTTTAATGCCATGTAATAGAAGCAATCATTATCAGCATATTAAAATTAGAATTAGAACTTACATAGTAAAGTGAGACTTCTCAATCTCAGTATTGTAACTTTAATCTTGTGGTAAGTCGAATTTATTTATTATTTATTTGCAGCAACCTAATGATAATGTTGGTCTTGAAATACCGACTAGAAGCAGTTATCCCAGTGATAAGTCTACTATAAATGATAACCGCAACCCTGCACAAAATCAGAATCATTTATCGAAAAAAAAAACACAAAGTATCAAAAAATGGTGTTTATACAAGACAGGAGGAAGCATCCAAGAAACAAAAAAGCCTCGAATATTCAACCATAAAAGGAAAATTAATTAATGCAAGGACCCTAAAACAACCAAAATGCTCTGGCCAAGTCAAGCATAAATGTTTAACTAATTTATCTGAGCCTGAGAGAAAAAAATCTATAATAGTTTCCATAAATTGCCGTCCCTAGAGATAGAACAACGGCAGTTTCTTATAAAAAGAAACCTTACTGTGCAACCAAAATCAAGAAGAGTGACAGCAATGGAGTCACGAAGAGTTTACACCAAAAAATATACTTTTCCACTGAAAATGGCACATTTCATGTTTGTAGAGAATTTTTCCTCGATACTTTAATATTTCAGAGTCACTTATAAAAGGGGCTCTTAAAAAGATTAACTCTAATGGAATACTCCTATCTGACCTACGAGGAAAAAGATCTACCAAATAAAGTAAACCCTATAATTGAAAAATTCATAAGAGATCACATTTTATCGTTCCCAGTTGTATAAAGAAAAGTGCATTGAAGAAAAGTATCTTTAGAAAAGTACAGACGAATTTTTCATGAGTAAAAACTGAAATTTCCCAAACCTGCTAAAGATCGTTGTAAGAAATGTATTGCTCATGAAGAGCAAAAAGGAGATATAATCTATGACGATACTCTCTATACTAAGCATATTAAACGCAAGGAAGCAGCACGAAAAAATAAAGATCAAGATAAGGATGCAAAAGACCAAGAAAGTGTTTTGGCAATACAATCTCCAAGCCGTTCTGAACAGTGAATACACCAAAAGGAGCTAGTGGACCATTCTTCTAAGTCAGAAAGTTGGCTATATACAACCTTACCATTTACAATCTTAAAGATGTCAGTGTTACCTGTTGTGTCTGACCCTGACAGTGACAATAAAAAATATAGCCACTTACCCTTCAAAATCCTATCGTAATCGGCTAAATGTAAAAAGTTTATTTTTTTTTATGTGGAGTAAAAGTTTAACACTTTTTTTTTTAATTTACATATTGGAGGTCCCGTCCTGTATTAAAATTTATATTGCGCATTATATTGGATGTCTATATTATATATAAAATGTCTGAAAATACTAACCTAGAATGACAATTATCATTCTATCAGTTGACACTGTGAAAGTACTGTCACGATCGAGACCATCTGTGTCAAATTATATTTATGAGCATTATTGATTAGATATCTATTTACCATATTTTAAACTCCAACCAATTATACATCCGGAAGTAAAATTCGCTTTAATATGCAAATACCCGTGAATAATCAGATCTTTAGTCAAAGCACAAAGTGGTTTTTAAGTCTCCTAAAAAGTAGCGAATATGCACATTCCCTATTGTACCAATTTGGTCATGAATAACTATATTTTATCGAAAAAACTAATGGATTGTAGCTGTTAAATATCAAAATAATTCCTGTTTTATTTTATCTGTAAGCATAATACAAACCGAGTTATACCTCACTGAAGGTGAGAATTTCGTATTTAACGAAAAATTTTAAAAACTCAACAACAACAAATTTTGTTTTTTGTTTAATTTACTGTTTGTATTTTGAGAACAATTTCCGAAGTAGAAATTTAAACGTCAATAAACGTATTTTTATCTTTAATTGCTGCTTATTCAAAGTTAAATAGTAATTAATTTAAAATGTCACAAGAAAATAGCTTCAGAACAATACTGATGATGGAATATGGATTCCGAAAACGTTTTGTAAAATAGCCCGATTGGGATTTTAAATTATATACTTTTTATAAAGGATTTTTAATAAATTATTTGTGATACATGGTATACAGCCAACTACAGGAACTTAGATTCCTTGTGAATATAAATTTGTTTATGTTATTTTTGTGATGAAAACGATTTCCGAAGTGGAAATCGAAACGTCAAAAATATACTTATTTTAAACTTAAATTGTGGCTTATTTCCATTAAAAGTATTAGTAGTAATAACGTAAATTTGTTTTTTTTTGTCTTTCATTTTTGGCATAGATTTTTATAGGTCTTTACAGTTTTTTAATAGCTTCTACATAGTACCTCTGTAGAGTCCTGACAGAAAGAAATACGAATAAGCGAATAGTTGAAGCCCTATACTATAATATTTTCTGCAGTTTTTTTAAAATTGTATATCAAATAGTAGTAACTTACAAAAGCCAAATTTGAAAAATCATTGCATAAATATAATTAATTTTACCAGCAGGACGGTCAATAGGGATATGAAAATAAAGGAATTAAAACATAAAACATGCTGTTCAGGCAATAATGGAACAGTGAATATTTATGTGATATTTATTAAACAATACACTGACTGAAATAATGAAATAATAGTTATTAACACACAAGTTTTTAGCCAGAGTAAGATATGAGGTGGCCACGCCTACGAATACATATCGAAAAATTGAAGTATTTCTGTAAACTGTAAATATAAGACATCCCTCTTAATTTATAAACCAGTCAAATAATTTTATAAAATGTATTCTACTGTTACTAGCACATTGATATCAACATATATGTACATACGTATCTAAGCAAACAGATTCCAAAGTTGTGAAATTGTTTGAGAAATAGAGAAATAGAGAGAGAGAGAGAGAGAGAGGGAGAGAGAGAGAGAGAGAGAGAGAGAGAGAGAGAGAAATAGTATTAGAAATAATGAAATTCAAATTTTTAGGCTGATTTTTCTAAAATGTATTTTTTTTTATTTTTCCAAGTGGGCAGGAAACAATTTCCAAATCACCCTTTGTACAATTTTTTAGGCGTTTCTCGTCGAATTAAATACTTTTTCTATCTTGGTAAATTTTGCAAAAATGTTTTCTTTTCGAGATATTTGTAATTTTTTGTTGAAAAAATACTATAAATACTATACTAAATACTTAAATACTGATTTTTGGGATTTTTTTTAAACTAACCAAATTAATTTCTAATTGTATAAAAAGGTTTTGAATCTTTAAACCTTCAAGTACAAGGAAGAATATTATGAGAAGGGTAAATTAATTCTATTTTGCTTAAAACACGAAACTAATTATTTCGTATGTATGGTTGCGGCGATGCAGGCGCGAGGCACTTTGAAATCTTGATTAAGTTTAAAACTATGTTTTTAGCAGGATAGAAACCATTTATACTTGTAAAAATTTAAAGATTATAAAGGTTTTTATAGAATATTGTAATATATAGTGTTTTTTTTCTAGAAAAAATCTCAAAAATCACTAACTCAGGCATTTTTTTAACAAACATGGCAAATAATTCGAAAAATGAGCATTTTTTGAACAATTACTAGGGGAGAAAAAGTATTTACTTCGCTGAGATACGTCTAAAAAAATCGAAGCAATTCGAACAATTGTTTTTTTGGTATGAGTTATTTGTTAATAACAATTTCTGGCTCACTAGGAAAAATTAAAAAAACTACATTTGAACCGCAATGTTTGGTGCGGTACAAAAAAAAATTAGTCGGTTATTCAGTTTCTAAA